TTTTAAAAAAACCAAATGGTTTGGGGAATGGGTACAAAGGATCACCAGACTGAAAATTCAAACAAAAGAATGAAATATATTGAAATGAAGCAATAAAGTAAGGGATCACTGCAAGAAGTATTAACATATGTTTGTGAGGTTTGCAATGAATCTGTAGAATTGAAATGAATGCTGTATGTACAGTACTAATGCCCAAGGAAAAAAATTCTAAAAAAAGAAATTAAAAAATTGCTGTAACAATGTTGAAAATGGTAACTTTTTATGTATAGATAGTACTATACTGAAAAAAAATCTTAAAATATGAATATGATTTGCTTGTTCAGCAGCATTATCACTTGTCTAACCCAAGTGCCAAGACTGCATTTGTGCCTAACATAGGAAGAATGGCACAGAGCGTGCAGGTTAATTTTGCTGTTTAGTAGGCAATTAAGACATGTAAGATTGGGAAACGTCTATTGTATGCTTCTTAATTTAATGAAGTGAATAGGCTTGAATTGTGGAATGCTTTGATCTGGCACATAGTACACTTACTATACATCTGATGGATTTAAAAATGTACGACACTGAATAGGATGGTTCAACAACAAACAGGGACTAGGACAAGGATGTGTATTAGCTCCTTGTTTAATGTATTCATTAAAAATGCTTTAGTGAAATTAGAAGTATGTTCGTTAATTATCTAAATGTGTATCTAATTTTGCATGTAAGGGATGCTGAGTGTTTTTTGGGCGAAAACTCTAATGATTCATTGTGAATATTATATAAAATATATAATACAAGGAACATGGATTTGAAAATTAAGATAGAAGAAGGTTGTGTCAAAGTGTGATGAATGAACGTGAATTATATATACATGATGAAAAAACAAACACAGAACTAGAGAAATAAATGCAATGGAAGGACATTTACTAAAGATTATAAACGTTATGCAGAATTGTTATGGTGAATAAATGCTAATGTTAGTGGAAAGTACATGGTCTGTTAAGAGAAATGAATATTTTTCAAAAGCAGCAAGAAGAGTTGGTTCTAAAAGCATCCTTCTGACCACTTTGCCACAAGGAAAGTTGGCTGCATCAGGAAAAACAAAAAGCTGAATGGGAGGAGGAATATGGTACTTAAGGTAAAGAAAGAATGTACAGAGATTCTCAGTCATGCAGGTTATGGTTGTCCCAAAGGTGCTTTTTCCAGAGGCAACTGGAGTTTCTTTGTTTTTCCTTGAAAGGAAAAGAAAAACAAAGTCCAGTTGCCTCTGGAAAAAGCATCTTTGGGACAGTAAAGAAAGAACGTGTGGTGAAAGAATATGGATAGAATAAGAAAAGAATTAACTTGATTGAGTGAATTGATATAAATTAGATTTAGTTATAGTTCCTTCTCTTTTTCTTATTTCTTGTGCTTTGCTGTGCACTGTACAATATTGCTCACCATGAAAGGGAACAACATGATGAATGTGAACTTGTAGGAATTATTGATTTTCTTACTCTCTTTGAAGATCATCGTATATACCGTATGTTCTGTTTATCAATATTACATTTTATAGATTCACGCTGACTTGGCCATTTTGTGTATATAGAAAAGTTTAAAAATCACACTCTGTATGCTTTAAAGTGCTTGTGTACCTGTATTTACTCCTTGCCATCCAACAGAAAATGGAGTTCTTGCTTGAATAACGTATGTTGTAATGGGACTGCGATTATCTGCTCCTGGTCTCCAAGAAACCTGAGCTGTAGTGTCTGTTATCTCATCAATTGTCACAGCTTCAGGAGGACCTGGGGGACCTGTTACGAAACATCCAAAATAAACAAAAATACATTTTGGTTCCCCTCAGTGAGATACACATAGCAAATAACTACTTCTGCAGAAGTAGTCCACATTTAAGATGGAGAGTTGCAAGACTTTCCTGTTCAATTCTAAGAAAAAAAAATGGTATTATAAAAAAAAAATCTGTTCTTTGTAGAAGGAACTGCAGGAGATCCAGATGCAAAATATACTGTCCAAAGTAGCCCAATGATTTCAGTGTTTGATCCATTCTACACTGCCTACTTCCACAGAGTTTTCGGCGCCCAAGATGGTGACGTAAACTATAACAAACTTGAAATGTTTGGGATATTTTGGGCATTACCTTTTTGATTTGGATCAATTGAAATTCTTGGCACTAAGGGAGAACTTCTGTTATAAATCTTATTTGGATGTTAAATTTATTTTGACATAGATAAATTTTAAATATAGTGACTAAAGTTATTTTTTTTTAGTANGGGGACAAAATACTCATGTTTTGATTTTTTCGGAGGAAAGAAATACAATACCTTCTTCTGCTTTTACAGTTAATTCTGACATTCTTATATACATTTAAATTTTTAATTGCTTGTTTCTACATTGCAAGCTTTTTTCCTAACACCTTTATTGAGTTACATTCATTCTCAGTCTTATTATTTAAGTTTCAAGAATGTGTCTTTAAAAAGGCAATTTATTTATTTTCGTTGCTGATTGCAACAATTGTAACTCAGGTGTTCTATCCATGGTTTCCTGACAGTACAAGTATGTTCTCCCCTTTTCATTATTTGTTACATGCAAAATATTGAAACCATTCTGTCTTTGAAAAATTGGTGCTGCCTTGTTCTGATTGCATTTTTGTTTTGATTTATTCCCTAGAGCTTGCTGCCTAGATGATATAATTTTTCTCCCAATCCCAGAAATCTGTCTCTGTTTCAATCATATTTTCTCTCACAAAGCCTACATTTGTAAATGGTTAGTCTTGCCCAGCTATCACTTTGTCAAATTTTGACCTTTGTTAAAGCTTACATATTCATCTTCTCTTGTCTTCAACACTATATATTGCCACAATGTATGTTTAAAAATGTGGGTCTGTACAATGCCCATGTTTACGATAATATTGTCTGATTTTTTTTCTTTCTTATTGAATGTTCAAATCCTTCAGAGTTGATTAGAAAATGACCTACTAATTCAAATGAATTCCATTTATCTGTAACCATGTATGTCAGGTAGTATTGGTATGTCAGCAAGATATATTAAAAAGTATAAATTAAAGCTATCTACATTGTTCTGGATGCATATGAAAATAGACATATAAAGGCAAGTGATAGTGTTATATTATGCTCCAGTGAGCAGTGTTAATTGAATGATCAGGGATGCTGTTCAATGTCCTGAATGAATGAAATTCAGAAGAAATTGATTGCATGAAAGAAGGATAGGATTGATATTAGAAAGTAGAAGGCAATTTGGAAACATAAGAATGGTAATATTTAAGTGACTGGGTATTTAGAAAAAAATCTGCTTGTTTTGAATATGTAGTTTAAACGTAAGTCTACTAATGCACACATGATGAAATATTGAGAGATTTCAGTAAATTAAGTACCAAAGTAAGTAAAAGATGCTAGGTTGGAAGTAGAATTAATCCAGGAATCCTCTATGGAAAAGTGTTAAAAATAGATTTGAATTGACAGAAATTATTATAAGGAAATATTAGAAGAAGCGGGAAATGGAGTGTAAATAATTATGCAAGATGCTGATGCAAAATATAAAACAGTTTGTTTGGTGGAGTGAAGAAGTCTAGAAGCTTGAATAAGGGAAAAAATGCACACAGGAGAATGATAGCTGCAAAAACTGGAGATGAGATAAAAATCCTGTATATTGTGTATGAGCAGGAGAAAAGATAGCTGGAAAACATAAGTGTGAAGATTAAAAAGGAGAGAGGAAAATAGAGAGCTATTTTGGGGGAAATAAAATATTGCTTGGGAAATGGATGAAAAGTGCTAAACAAGCCAGCTTCAACAGAGTGAATGGAATTAAAAATAAAAGTGATGAATGACTTGGAATGGAACTGAAGTGAGGGCATGCTAGAAATAGTAATTTGATTTGAATGAGAATGATAGTGATATTTCAAAGAGTGGAATTGAAATGAATGCTATGAATGCAAGTAGCCAAGAAGGACCTGGAAAAAGAAAGTAAAAATGATGTGCAAGTGTGGATTTGAGCAAATATGGAACTGAAGGCTGATTGTGAATACAGTAATAGTCTATATGGAAGCAAGGCATGCATGAAAATAAAAATAAATGAAATACTTAGCAAGTGGTTCAGCACTGAACTTTAAGTAAGAAAATAATGATGATATTTCCTAAGTTGTTTAATGGCTTTCTGCTGATACGTACAAGGAACACTTGTAGTGAGTAGTCTGTGATCCATTGTGAGGAATGAATGTTTATTGAAATAGGGGAATAGCTTCTATTGTATATGTGCTTCTCCCCAATTTGTTACATGGAAATAAGAGCTGGCTATGTCAAGAGAAATATAACAAGAAGTGAAATGTAATGATCTTGGGGTACTTAAGTGTATGTTGTAGAAGAAAGCAAGCGATGATCAATTGTGGAATACACAAAAATGAATTAACAGTGCAACAAAAATCCATCCAAAATATGCTGAGATAGCTTGGTCATGTGAGACAATGAATGAAGGTCAAATTAATATAGGAGAATATTCATAGCCCAAGGTTGAACTGTAGAGTCCTTGAGTCTTCTGTCTGCCTTTTCTACATAGCAGCTGCTACATATGCAGAAGAGTGCATCCATAAACACCTACTAGCAGCTGGAAGAAGTGATAACAACTCCATAATTTCACAACACATGAACAGACTTAACCATAGTTTCAAATGGAAAATTCTGAACATTGTAGAGCAAGCTATATTGAACACTAAAAAATTCCTGGAAATTTGACACTTAGGCAAATCTGCCAAAAATGGGCACATAGAGATAAACAACATTTACATGTCCTCACCAATAATCAACACCCAGATAAATAATCAATCTGTAAACAATATCCTAATCATAGAACTACCAAACAAGCATTCTTCTTTTCCTGTGAGACCAGTCTATCAGGGCAACCTGATCCACCCAATTATGGGATGGGGCATACTGTTTCAGCTTTCACCTTTCAGCCCCAATCCAGGAGCCTTTGCAAGCAGTCACTTTCACAAGAAACTATTTTTGTGTTAAATAGATGTTTTACAGAAAATGTCTCCCTTAATTCTTTGTTGGTAAAATATAAATTTAATACCAAACAAGCAGAAAACAACAGCACAATCAATGAACTACCAAAGAAAAAACACACCTCTACCAATTCCGACGGGGGAAGACACTGCAGGATCCATTCTGGGCTGTCCCTGAGACCATAAGTTTTATCTTCTGAGCTTTTGGACTCATGCTGGAGCCCATCTTCAGGGAAGTTATTTTTGTGCTCTGGGCTGTTATGTGTGGGATTTTTATATGGTGGATGTTGTGTATAGCTTTTTAAATGTAAATTGGGGTGTTGATGGCTGGCTGCATCTAAAAAGTTACACTTTTTTTAGATGTAGCCAGCCATCAATACCCAATTTACATTTAAAAATGGCTGGCTACATCTAAAAAGCAATCTACATCTAAAAAGCTACACAACAGTCACCATATAAATACCACAACACAGAAGTACCAAACAAGCATTTTTCATTTCTGGTGGGACTAGTCTATCAGGACAACCTGGTCTACCAAATTATGGGATGGAGCATACTGCTTCCACTTTTGCCTTTCACCCCAATCCAGGTAGTTTCTTTCACGACAAGCTATTTTTCCATTTTACAGACAAAGTCTCCCTTAATTCTTTGTTGGTAAAACATAAATTTAATACCAAACAAGAGCAGACAACAGGACAATCAAGGAACTACCAAAGGAAAAAAAATCTACCAATTCTGATAGGCAGCACATAAAGAAGTTCCTTGAGGATAGGCTCCAGAAGATCAGAAGATGAAACTTCTGGTCCCCCGTAACCAACCCAGATTGAAATCTGCAACATTATCCTGGGACAAGTATATTCGCCTTCATTCGTGGGGAAGACATTGAATATAAACAGACCAAAAATCCTATTTCCTTCTAGCACCGATGATGTTATGTAGTTGGGTAAAAAAAATGAACCACATTCAGAGAGAACCAAGGATTCCACAAAGGTGACATTGCAAAACAAATACATGAAGGGTGAATAGCTTGAGAAGAAGTGAGAAAATCGTGGTGCAATGAAATTGCTGACATTCCTTCAGACAATAAATCAGAAGTTGAAAACATGGAAGATGTGAAACTTTTCTTTTTAAAGTTTGAATTTGAACATATAACACCTCTATCTTCCCATTTTCCCCCATAAACACAAACCTTTGAGATGGGTGGCTGAGAGAAAAAGTAACTGGCTCAAGGTCACCCAGTTGGCTTTCATGACTATGGCAAGACTTGAACTCACAGTTACCCACTTTCTAGCCTGATGCCTTAACCACTAGACTAAACTGGTCCTCGGGAGAATGGAAATGATTTTTTTTGTTTGCCATATCTCTAATACTATTTTTTAATTATGAAATTAAATTAAATCATTTAACTAATTATTTTTATACACTTGGCATACTGTTGCTTCCCCAAAAGGAAATAGAATGATGGGTATGTTTGTGAGTGTGTCTATGTGCACATGTATTTATGTACATGTATGTATATATCTGTTTGCTATGTTTTTGCATATCTGTAAATTAATTCATCAGGAAAATATGTTAAACACGATCTGTGCATCCTCTAAAGTTGTATCGACTTTGGTTGTAAAGGAGAAAAAAAATCAATAATATTTGCAAATATTGCCAATCTTCCCTTTAAAAAAAAATTATGAATGAGCCTTGAAATATCTCATCCAGTTAAAATCCATAAATGCCCATTATCTGGAAAAGCATCATTTTTTAAAACCAATAATGTTCTGTAAA